AACCCCCGATTGTAAATTCTCTATTTTGTCTTCAAAATTTAAAAAGGCGTAATTTAATTGGTGGTGAAGGTGCATCAGGCTTAGGTTCTGGTTTAGGAAAGTGTACTAATCTCTCAAATTTGACACTTAATCTTGGGTATAAACAATTTACTTGTTGATTGCGATTTTTTAAATTTAAAAAGGAATTTTAAACAATTTAGCTAGCTAACTTCTTTTAATTTATTTATTTATTTATTAGCTTTGTATTTGATTTATTTTTCTTTTTTATTCTGCTTGTGTTTTTTTCCTTTGCTTTTTATTTGTTAATTTAATTCATTTATTGATTTTATATTTTTTCTTAATTTTTTCCTTCGAACTAACTAATTAACAATATATTGTTTTCAAAATTTAAAAAGGCATAATTAAATTGGTGACGAAGGTGCATCAGGCTTAGGTTCTGGTTTAGGAAAGTGTACTAATCTCTCAAATTTGACACTTTATCTTTAGTATAAACAGTTTACTTATTGATTGCGATTTTTTTTAATATAAAAATGAATTTAAAACAATTTAGCTAGCTAACTTCTTTTAATTTATTTATTTATTTATTAGCTTTATATTTGATTTATTTTTCATTTTTATACTGCTTGAGTTTTTTTCTTTTGTTTTTTATTTGTTAATTTTATTCATTTTTTTATTTTATACTTTAACTTGAATTAATTATTTAATTCATTACTTATTATTTTATATTTTTCTTAATTTTTTCCTTTGAACTAACTAATTAACAATATATTGTCTTCAAAATTTAAAAAGGCTTAATTAAATTGGTGTCGAAGGTGTATTAGGCTTAGGTTCTGGTTTAGGAAAATGCACTAATCTCTCAAATTTGGCACTTTATCTTTGGTATAAACAGTTTACTTGTTGATTGAGATTTTTTTAAAATAAAAATGAATTTAAAACAATTTAGCTAGTTAACTCTTTTAATTTATTTATTTATTTATTTATTAGCTTTATAATTGATTTCTTTTTCTTTTTTATTCTGCTTATGTTTTTTTCCTTTGTTTTTTATTTGTTAATTTAATTCATTTTTTTTATTTTCAACTTTAACTTGAATTAATTATTTAATTAATTACTTATTATTTTATATTTTTTCTTTATTTTTTCCTTCAAGCTAACAAATTAACAATATTTTGTCTTCAAAATTTAAAAAGGCAAAATTATTTTGATAACGAAGGTGCATCAAGCTTAGGTTCTGGTTTAGGAAAGTGCACTAATCTCTCAAATTTGACACTTGATCTTTGGTATAAACAATTTACTTGTTAATTGCGATTTTTTTAATATAAAAATGAATTTAAAACAATTTAGCTAGTTAACTCTTTTAATTTATTTATTTATTTATTTATTTATTTATTTATTTATTTATTAGCTTTATAATTGATTTCTTTTTCTTTTTTATTCTGCTTGTGTTTTTTTCGTTTGCTTTTTATTTGTTAATTTAATTCATTTATTTATACTCAATTTTAACTTTAATTAATTATTTAATTCATTACTTATTATTTTATATTTTTTCTTAATTTTTTCCTTCGAACTAACTAATTAACAATATATTGTCTTCAAAATTTAAAAAGGGATAATTAAATTGGTGACGAAGGTGCATCAGGCTTAGGTTCTGGTTTAGGAAAGTGTACTAATCTCTCAAATTTGACACTTAATCTTTAGTATAAACAGTTTACTTATTGATTGCGATTTTTTTTAATATAAAAATGAATTTAAAACAATTTAGCTAGCTAACTTCTTTTAATTTATTTATTTATTTATTATCTTTGTATTTGATTTATTTTTCTTTTTTATTCTGCTTGTGTTTTTTTCGTTTGCTTTTTATTTGTTAATTTAATTCATTTTTTATTTTCAACTTTAACTTGAATTAATTATTTAATTCATTACTTATTATTTTATATTTTTTCTTAATTTTTTCCTTTGAACTAACTAATTAACAATATTTTGTCTTCAAAATTTAAAAAGTTGGAATAGAATTGGTGGTGAAGGTGCATCAGGCTTATGTTCTGGTTTAGGAAAGTGTACTAATCTCTCAAATTTGACACTTGATCTTAAGTATAAACAATTTACTTGTTGATTGCGATTTTTTAAATTTAAAAAGGAATTTTAAACAATTTAGCTAGCTAACTTCTTTTAATTTATTTATTTATTAGCTTTATATTTGATTTCTTTTTCTTTTTTATTCTGCTTGTGTTTTTTTTGTTTGTTTTTTATTTGTTAATTTAATTCATTATTTATTTTCAACTTTAAATTTAATTAATTATTTAATTCATTACTTATTATTTAATATTTTTTCTTAATTTTTTCCTTCAAGCTAACAAATTAACAATATTTTGTCTTCAAAATTTAAAAAGTAAAAATTAAATTGATAACGAAGGTGCGTCAAGCTTAGGTTCTGGTTTAGGAAAGTGCACTAATCTCTCAAATTTGACACTTTATCTTTGGTATAAACAGTTTACTTGTTGATTGAGATTTTTTTAATATAAAAATTTGAATTTAAAATAATTTAGCTAACTAATTCTTTTAATTTATTTATTTATTAGCTTTATATTTGATTTCTTTTTGTTTTTTTTGTTCTGTCTTATTTATTTATTGGCTTAAAAATATTATTTTATTTAAAAACTTTATTGTAATTATTTTTTTAAGTTATTTACACTAATTTATATTAAAAGGAGCAACTAAATCAATAGTTTATAATAATTGAGAGCAAAGTGTCATAAATCAAATAGATTAGTTGTCTTAAAAGTTAAAATTAAATGATCATAAAGTTGTGAAAAAAAGAAGAATAAATATAAATATATTTGAATAGTATGACATAATATGCATTATTTTATAATTTTGTAATTATATAATTTAATTTAAAATATAGATAGATTTATTACTTTTTATGGATGGGCTATATATATTATTATATACATACAAAGTAATTATGTGCTTATTGTATTTAAATATATTTTCAATAATATTAAATTTTAGAACATTAATTAATTAATTACTAAAATTTGACTAAGTGTTCATCTCTGTTTCCTACTATATTTTTAATTTTTTGTTTTAAATACAAATATTAAGATTAAATAATGAATGTTAAATTAATTTTTCTGTGATATTTCTTCATAAAACCAAATTTGTAAATTAATATTTGATAATTAATTAATTAATTATTATATTTTGTTGGTTCTTTTTATCCATTTATAATTAATTAAAATCCATAATTTGCTATTCAATATTTTTGAAAAAATAAATAAATGATATAATATATTAAAAAATATTAAGAATTAGAAGAAGTAATTATTTATTTTTTTATTAATATCATACAAATTTATATTTATTAATAAAAAAAGTTTATCAACTCTTCACTTTCATCTCATTAGATTCTCCTTATTGATCACTAGCATATTTTATTCATTAATATTATTTTTAATATTTATTTATATTTTTTAAATATTTAACTTTCAATTTATTAAAATAAATAATTTTTATTATAGAAATTATCATTATTACTTAATGATTTTTATTAAAGTAAAAATTATTTA